TCCTGCTGACATCTATCAGTGATGATGTTTTGAAGTGAAGTATGTTAAAGACACTTAATTTGGGTTACTGGATCCCAGAAAAGCTCTAAAGTATATTAGAAGGTGTTCCTTTTTCTGCACTATAAAATTATTTAAAAAATTAATGACATGGGTGGAAGTAGAAATGGTAATGTTTCAGTTTTCTGTCTAAATTAAATATTTTTTCAAAGCTCCTAAATATTGCTGTTCTAAACACCATAGTAATAAGTAGTTTGATAATTCTGTTTCTATATTCAACTACAAAGCTGTTTGTTTTTCCTGTTTACCCTTCAACCTTGTAAGAATTCTGCCTTTTTTCTTTCTTTGTTTCTGTACCACCTGTTTAAAACAATAAGGTTTCCCCTGTTCTGAGGAAGCTGGAGCTCTTAGGAGACTTAAGATATACAGTTGTTGTGTCCAATTGGTGGAATCAGGGGATTTGCAGAAAGAAGTAGCATCTGAAATCATAGGATTACTAATGCTGGAGGTGAGATGGAAAACAAAAACTTTTTTGGTTTTGGGTGGATTTTGGGGGGTTTGTAATTTGTTGAGGGAGGGAAAACTTAAGTGTGCCAAACCTACCATAGCTCCTACTTATGAATAAGAACTACTGTTATAAAACAAAATAGTCGATAGATGAGCCATAAACCATTTAGACGTTTACGTTACATTTCTGGTATCATGGACATGTATCTTTCTGAAGAGTTGGAGTATTTGAAAACATCAGGGAACTGGTGGAAGATCCTGATCTATGAAATCCTTTACAATTATAAGTTTATACCAGAGGAGAATGATTCCCTGAATCACTTATAGGACCAGTTCTAGGTTTCAATGCCAGTTCTATTAATTCAGCAAAAGAGTATTTCTTAGAAAGAGATATCAAACATTTAGATTTCTGCTTAACATTTTTTTAATCCCGTCAACTTTTAGGTTCACAATTTTCCAGGAGCATTACTGGTTGAATTAGCCAATGAGTTTGTTGATGCTGTCAAACAGGGCAACCTAACGAATGGAAAATCTTTGGAGCTATTACCCATCATTTTCACTGCCCTTGCTACCAAAAAGGAAAATCTAGCTTATGGAAAAGGTAATTTTCTTCCAATCTTAGTGGCTTTTACTCTCTTCACTGAATTAAATTTATTCCTCAGTGTATTTTGCATTTCTAGGTGAACTAAGTGGGGAAGAATGTAAGAAGCAGTTGATTAACACCCTCTGTTCTGGCAGGTGAGTCTTTCTTATTAATATGTAGAACTTTCTCAGGACTACAAGTGACCAAAAAAAGAATTATCATTTATTTTAGGAATTTATACCACTCAAGTTTTTAGTCCATTTTGGTTTATGGTCTACCACTATAAAACCATTTAGTCTGTGATGAATTTTTGAGAGAGATTATTTACTGTATTCTCTGTTCTAAGACTATACATATAGTTTCTATTTACTTGACTCTCCATCTTAACACAGCATTTTATCCCTATAGCAGTATTTGGAGTCCCAAGGTCCTTAAGGCTGGAAAGTCACCCTACCACTATCTTCTATATTTTTTTGAGGGAGTGAGATGTATAAGTGATGTTGTATCTTTAAACCAGAAATATGAGAATCTACCCTAAAGAGAAATTGCAACATATAAGAAAATCTTCATACATGAACATTTCAACACAGAAATTTGTGACCAACTTAAGCATACAATAATGGAGATGTGTAAGTTATGGTATGTAAGCTATGTATCAATAAGTTAAGGTAGAGCCATTCCATGTAACTTATAGCCATTAAAAATGAAGTATATAAAGACATACGTCAAAGATGAAAAATTCTTACTATATATATATATGTGTGTGTGTGTGTGTGTGTATATTTATAGTAAGAAATCCTTAATATATATATATATTTTTTAATTAATTATTTTTGGCTACATTGGGTCTTTGTTGCTGTGCGTGGGCTTTCTCTAGTTGTGGTGAGCAGGGGCTACTCTTTGTTGCAGTGTGCGGGCTTCTCATTGCAGTGGCTTCTCTTGTTGCGGAGCAAGGGCTCTAGGCACGCAGGCTTCAGTAGTTGTGGCTCACAGGCTCTAGAGCACAGGCTCAGGAGTTGTGGCGCACGGGCTTAGTTGCTCTGCAGCATGTGGGATCTTCCCAGACCAGGGCTCGAACCCATGTCCCCTGCATTGGTGGGCAGATTCCTAACCTCTGCGCCACCAGGGAAGTCCCTTACAGAAATAATTTTAGGCATGAATCAGCACATGTATATTTATCCATTTATTTGTTTTTAATTACACAAAAGAGTTTATTCATTACATTGTAATATACCTTTCATTTTTCATTTAACACATCTGTTCATGTCAGCATATACCACTTTACATCATTCTTTTTAATAGTTCCATAGTATTCTGTTACAATATTTGGCTAGTGTCCAATTGTTAGATTATTTGTTTTTTGCCAATAAATAATATTTGGCTATTTGGTTTTTTGCTATTATAAAAAGTGTTGGAATTAACATCCTTATATGTCTAGGTGACCTTTTATAAGCATGTACATGGGATATATTTCTAATAGTAAGTTGGGTGGGTCTTTGGTTATGTGCATTTTTAAATTTGATAAGTGGTATTGCCAACTTGTCTTCCCAGAAGGATTATATCAGTGTACATCCCCTAAAACGGTATGTTAAGTACTTGTTTCCCAAAATCTCACCAGCACTGAATATCATGAGAGTTTGATTTTGCTAGTCTGAAAGGTTAAAAGCTGTTATTTCATTGTTTTAAATGTCATTTCTTTGATCTTGTTTCCCAGTGGTACCAAATCAAACTTGAAATGGCCCTAATTTTTTCCTCCTTACTAATTTTACAAAGTAATATGTAAATAAGTTTAAATGACATAAACTTTCTTTGTCAATTTCTTTAATCAGATGGGATCATCAATATGTAATCCAACTCACCTCCATGTTCAAGTAAGCATCATGATTCCCTTTTTTTATATCCTGCTATGAGAACTTACCTACTAGAAACTGAAATGTAGCAAGGTCAAATACCACTGTTCCCTAAATAAGAGTATCGGTACCTCTGTTTTCTTTTACAGAATTTACCCCCACTCTTTTTTGCTTTGATTTCTTATTTAATGTATAACTTTATGATTTTTTTTCCCAAGATAACTTTGCTTAGGTAAGGTTATTAGTCCCCTTTAAGGTTCTGCATTAGAGAAAAATCAAAAGAGGTAGTTATAGTATTCTAATATCTCCCAAATTAGGCTCTGATCTTTAGAATCTTTGATCCACAGGGATGTCCCTCTGACTGCAGAAGAGGTGGAAATTGTGGTGGAAAAAGTGTTGACAATGTTCTCCAAATTGAATCTTCAAGAAATACCACCCTTGGTCTATCAGCTTCTGGTTCTCTCCTCAAAGGTATAAATGAAAAATTTGCTTTTTTTTTTTTTAACTTTGGTGAAATGACCAGTTAGTACCATTCAGCTTATTCATACTCTTGTTTTATGTACTACAGCATAGATGCTTTTATTTCATGTATGATGATTTGATCTAGTAAAAAGGTCATGGTCCTCAGCCAGAGTAAACATACATTATCTCTTGTAGTACCACATTTTGTGTGTGTGTGGTAGTAAAAGGGATAAAGATCTCAGAAAGGGTGGACTATAGGCCCCTTAAAATCTGATATTAAGATGTATTTCAAACTCAATTTCAACATGAAAGTGTTCTATAAATTCTTAGTGTGACTCTAGGTTATAATTTATTTAAATTCATACTTGAAAATCCTTCAAGCTGAAAAGAACTTTAAGTTCAACTTGCCCTTTATGGGGAGACGTTACTTATTTTGTATATTTTTCAGGGAAGCCGGAAGAGGGTTTTGGAAGGAATCATAGCTTTCTTCAACAAGCTAGATACACAACACAGTGAGGAACAGAGTGGTGATGAGTGAGTATTACAGTATAGAAATACAATCATTTTTCCAAATTCATCTTATTGTTATCTAACTGTTCAGTCCATACCTTCACCTCAGCACAGAATTTCCCTAGTCCCCTTAGCTGCTCAGTAATAAAATTAAAAGAATAATGCAGTCTCTTCAACTCTTTCATTTTAATCTTTCCAGGAAAACAGCAATAATTATTTTGTAAGTTACAAGCTTAAAAGCTATTTAAGTGTTTACTTTGTGCCAGAAACCATTTGGCCCTGGGACTACAGTGATGAACCAGTCAGACAAGGTTCCTACTCTCATGGAGCTATTTCAACGAGAAGAGAAAAGAAAATAAATAAATAACAAAAATAGTAGAGTGAAAAGTGTTATGCATATATTTCAAATGGATGATGTGATAGTGACAGCATAGCTACTTTAGGTTGAGTGGTCAGAGAAAACTTCTCTGAGAAGGTGTTATTTTAACTGAAGCCTAAATGATAAGAGCTACAATATATAGATCAGGAAAAAGCACATTCTCAGTTGGTGGAACAGTTAGTGCAAAGGCAGGACACAGCATGATGTGACTGAAAAAGAGGATTTTTTTTTGAAACAGATACTTACAGAGTGCTTGCTCTGTGCCAAGTGCTGTTCTAAGCACTTTAAACCTTACAGCAACACTCTTT